GTCAATGGGATGGTTCTGGTGTCTATATGGTCCATTCAGTTGCTCTTTCACAGATACAAGTAAGAGGCATCACTCAACATTATACTGATGACATTGTAGCCTATCGCTCAGCTCTGTTAGATTACATTTAATGGTTTGTGGGGTTAAGTTTAAGATGATATAGAGCAGGTTGAATGAATCTTGAGGGCAGTTATAAAAATTAATATTGCATTGAGGAAATCAATCTAATGAATATCACCCAAGCCCTTATATTGCATGTTTCACAAAAATAGTACAAAACTATACTTGAAAAATTTTGGATGGTCACTTGCAATATGACCTTAACTTTCAGAAAACGTTGTTCATCAATTTTTGTCAAATGAAATAGCATTTATGTTCTGTTTACCTTACCTAGCATTGTTAAATAAATATAGATTTATGTATATGTGTGTGTGTGTGTGTGTGTATATATATATACATATGTGAGTGTGTGTGTGTGTGTGACCCTGGAGCACAAAACCAGTCTTAAGTCACTGGGTATATTTGTAGCAATAGCCAAAAATACATTGTATGGGTAAAAATTATTGATTTTTCTTTTATGCCAAAAATCATTAGGATATTAAGTAAAGATCATGTTCCATGAAGATATTTTGTAAATTTCCTACTGTAAATATATTAAAACTTAATTTTTGATTAGTAATATGCATATGTATTGAGTACATGTACAGTAAATGGACATACTTTCCAGAAGGCCAACAATTCACTAAAAATGTTTTTTTTATTGGTCTTAATAAGTATTCTAATTTGTTGTTGTTGTGAATTGGTGGGTTTTTGTTAAATGTGAGCCAAAATCATCACAATTAAAAGAACCAAAGACTTAAACTACTTCAGTCTGTGTGCATTGAATTGAGTTAATACACGAGTTTCACAATTTGAGTTGAATTACTGAAATAAATGAACTTTTCCACGACATTCTAATTTATTGAGATGCACCTGTACACACACACACAACATGCAATATTACAGTGAATTGTAAACTTACAATCAACTATGAATAACCCCCTATATATTATGTGTGTGTGTGTGTGTGTGTGTGCGTGCGTGTTGTGAAACTTAAATTTCCCATAAATTAGAAATAAATATGTAAATATTACAAATGTTAAATATTTGTAGGTTAAATGCTTGATCTTGTTGAATTGTCAACACTACAGTTTTAAAAATGACATTTTCAAAATGGAAAATGGAATTATTTACTTGTTTTACAAAAATAATAATCAGTTCAACAGATTGAACTAAATGATGACAAGATGTGTGATTATTATCAAATCTAATCATCAAATCTAATATCTAATAGTCCTCATTGCAAAGAACATGTGATTTGTACCCTAGTTATTCTCTATTCATGGATAGAGCATTGTAAAAAGTCTTTGTAAGGCTGAGCATTCTCAGCCTAACCCACATCTGTTCAATAATGACAATTTATTTATTTTTTTTTCTGTTCCATATAGGGCTATTGTAGCAAGACGATATTTCTTCCTTTTGGGCACATTGTACATGTATAGATGCGTAACCATGTATGTCACCACTCTACCCGTGCCTGGCATGCACATGGTCTGTGCACCAAAGGTAAAAAAATATATATTTTAGTCCCTCTTTGTCACGATCCCCTCAGGATCTTATACTTCCTAGATAATGTCAGATAAGCAAAAGCATTTGGCTTTTAAATCTGTAATATCCTCTGCCATGCTCAAGACAAATATTGCAGCTTTTACAAGCCTTTACAATATCAGTTTATGGAATGATATTTCAATTCACAATTCTTGTCACCAACTACTCATCTTTCAACATTCAATATCCTCACTCATATCTTCTTTCCTGCATCTCTCATTCAGCTCCACGGAGATTCCCAGGCAAAGCTGCAGCGTGTTCTGCAGTTGCTCTCTGGAGGTGGATTATCAATCACCGGATCTCATCTGTTGTGCGGTGACTTCCTGTACAGCGGCCACACTGTCATTCTTACGCTCACGTACCTCTTCCTCAAGGAGTGTATGTCACTTTCTCAGACGGCACACTTTATGTTGAGACACAAATAAAATGACTCTCTGCTAATTACAGACTTGAGGTCACTGTAAGCAATTTTAGATTCTGTTTTTAGCCATTCAGAAGACACTGAGGCACTTTCTGACCGTTTGTTTTGCATGTTCACACAGCAACCCATTATGATTCACAACTGATTCTTTGTTTCTCTCTAGATTCTCCTCGTTCTTTCTGGTGGTACCATCTTCTGTGTTGGTTAACGGCTGCTGTGGGTGTCATGTGTATCCTGGTGGCCCATGAGCACTACAGTGTGGACGTGGTGGTGGCGTATTTCATCACCACCCGACTGTTCTACTGGTATCACACTATGGCTAATCTGCAGGTACATATATCAGTAACATGAAATAATAGAAATGCTCAAATAAGGCTTTTATTAAAGGGATAGTTCACCCAAAAATGAAAATTCTGTCATTAATTACTCACCCTCATGTCGTTCCAAACCCATAAGACCTTTGTTCATCTTCGAAACACAAATGATTATATTTTTGATTAAATCCGAGAGCTTTCTGACCCTCACACACATTCCTGTGATGTAAAGCTGGATTTTCAGCGTCATTACTCTAGTCTTCAGCATCACATGATCATTTAGAAATCATTCTAATATGCTGATTTGCTGTTTGAGATACGTTTATTATCATGATCGATTTTGAAAACAGTTGCTTAATATTTTTGTGGAATCCGTGATACTTTTTTCAGGATTCTTTGATGAATAGAGAGTTCAAAAGCATTTATTTGAAATAGAAAACTTTTGTAACATTATAAATGTCTTCATTGCATTTTTTTTTGATTAATGCATCATTGCTAAATAAAATCATACATTTCCTAAGAAAAAAAAACGTACTGACCCCGAACTTTGGAATGATAGTCTAGATTACCTCAAAGCTGTGAAGCATAAGCTAAAAGTCATTAAAACGACACTTCATGGGGTCTAAGTGTGTCGTTTGTATGTTGAAATACGTTCTTGTTTACATATTTTGATATATTTTGATTTTGCATATTGTTGATCTTTTTTGACATCCAGCCTCATGTAGACAGCTACAAATACACACATCCGAAACCAAGGCAAGCTCTCAGCTCAATTTGCGATTTAGATTCAGGGTGTCATTAAACTCAAGGCACCAAAACGGCACTAAGCCTTTTACCGAGTGTTTACATGACTCAGAGTACACTGAGAATATCCAAATCCATTAGGCCGAGCTTTTGAGAAATGACTCCCTGATGATGGTAAAGTGCTGCACATTCGATTGAAGCCAATCTAGGAAAAAAAAACCTTTCAAACTATCAAAACACATCATGTTTCTTTATACTGTTACAAGCAAAGTAGCCAATGATATCAGAACTGTCATATCTCAGAAAGGATATATATGGTGGTTAAAAAGCATCCACAAAATAATAATAATAAAAAAACTGAAATGCAGTGAGAGGTTGAGACTTTGGACTGGTGATGCAAATGTCAACAGGTTCGATCCCTGACAGGAGAGATCTCAACCTCAATCGTGTCTGTGTCCTGAAGTGGCTCCAAGGCTTGATTTTCATGGAATTGCTAAATTGCTTTGGATCTAAAATGTCATCACAATGCAACTAACCAAACTTCCCAGAACTGCTTTTTGTCATGCAACTATAGTGCATTTATATCCTGTGCATCGCCACTTCTGTTTTCAGAAAACCAGAAGTAGTCAGTCATCTGACCATGCATAACAATGTTTTTATTTGAATTCATTCGTAGTATGATATTAATTGATATTATCCTGTTTTCACCAGACTTTGAAGTGTTCTCCGAACAACTACCTCACTCACACCTGGTGGAACCCCGTGTTTAACCTCTTCGAGAGGAACGTTCAGACCCAAGTGCCCTGTTCTTTCTGCTGGCCGATCACATGGCCGCCTGCCTGTCTGAAGAACCCTTGTAAGAAATATTCCATGGTGCAGAGCGGCCGGGAGGAGTGACGTCGTGAACTCATCACGATGCCTAGACCAACATGTGGAAATATTTTGTATTTCGCTTGTGGCTGTCCCAGTGTTTACACCATACCAAAGAACAAAGACTGTTTGGCTATTGTTGCTAATTAGTTCTCTAATAGCAGTGGGCTAAACAGTTCAAACTCAATATTATTTGACAACTCATTGTTGATATTTTTACATTCATTTATATTCAGTCAATGTGGCCATTTAAAGAAACACTTTTGTAAGTACTTGAAGGGCCAGCTGAAAGTGTTATGTTTGGAAAATGATGGATTTTTGGAAAATCTCTCACTTTCTGTCAGAACCGATCTATCAGTTTGTGCATGCTTCTTAGTCATATTTTACCTTGTCTCTTTATTCAATTGTCATCTAAAACATGTTTGTCATAAAAAGTGTTGTTTAACAGGGTTTCATTAATTTTATACACTATTTTATATTAGAAATGCATGCATTCTTTTTCTAATGATTCATGTCAGCTGTTATTTCAGTTTTATGTGTATTTTCTGTTTTAAAAATATAATGACATTTTATGGAAATAAATGGTTTACATTAACACCTAGAGTACCTAGTGTTGCATGAATTAATGCATAACACTGAAGATGTGCTCAAACGGTCTATTTAACTGTCTATTTATTTATTTATATGATTATTATTAAGATTATTATTATTAAATAACTGTTAAACTGCATTAAATACATTTAGCAAATGTATACTTAAGTTATAAATTAGAAATATTTTGTTTTAAATGTATAAATACATAAAGGGTTTAGTTAACTAAAACTAAATTCAAACCATTAAAAAACATTTTCATTACTAGAAATGGCCTTTTGTTTACCTTACTGTACTAAAATAACTCAAACTGAAATAGAAACACACACACACACACTTATATAATAGTACCTCAATGATATTACAATGGCACTGTTACAAACTGATGGGTTACAGATAACCGAAAGCCCGTAATAAGTTCATCTCTGGTGAAGCTTCAGTGTCTGCTTCCTCTTATTGGATCAGTTGACCCCACCCATTAGTTTTCGTCATCGGTTGATTCACCAATCAACTCACAGCGTGCTCCTCTCAGCCAATGAAAAATACAAAAACACCACCCATGCTGCAGCTCCAACAACACAGGAAGAAATGTGTTTGATCAGCAGATAACAAGTATTGATCAGGAGGAGCTATGCGTCAGTGGATTTGATGAGTGCGCGAGTCATGGACGCTTCCCTGTCTTTGCTGTGGCAGTATGTGTTCTCGCCTGCAAACATTGTGGGTTTGATTGCATTCGTGCTTGTTTTCTGTGTGCTGCAACAGTATGCGTGGCATCAGACATACGCCAACATCCCTCCGGGTCCAAAGCCATGGCCTATCGTGGGAAACTTCGGCGGTTTCCTTGTGCCTTCGTTTATTTTAAGACGACTTGCAAAGAATCGCAAAGAGTTTGCAAAGATTGTCTCGAATCCGCTGTCACCTCAGGCTGGACTCATGGAGATGTCCAAACTCTATGGGAACATATTCAGCATTTTTGTTGGGCCTCAGCTCATGGTCGTGCTGACGGGATATGACACTGTCCGGGACGCGATGTTAAACCATCCGGAGGTCTTCTCTGACAGACCGCATATACCGCTCGTAACTATTATCACCAAGAGGAAAGGTAAGATAAGTAGTCGTAGTTAATGATTCCTGCATGCCATGATAATAGATCAGAGTAGATTAGAGCAGAGCAGAATAGAATAGAATAGACCGGAGCAGAAAAGTACAGAACAGAAAAATGCAGTATTGAACAGAATAGAACAATAGAAGACATGGACACAGAATAGAATAGAACCGAGTATAATAGACTGAACAGAATAGAACAGTAGAAGACACTGACTCATTAGAATAGAATATAACTAAATAAAACAAAGCAGAATGGAAAAGAATAGACCAGAACCTAGAAAAACAGACTGGGGCAGAATAGAATAGAATTATTTAGAATATAACAATATAAAACAGGGCAGAATAGAACAGGGTATAATAGACTAGAATAGAATAGAAAATAGACTATAAAAATGGAATATAGAATAGAAAACAGAATAATGTAGAATAGAACAAAATAGAAAAGTAGAATAGTCTGACATAGAATAGAATAGAAAAACAGGGCATCATGGAACAGAACAGAGTATAATAGACTGGAGCAGGACAGAATAGAATAATATAGAATTGAACAGTAGAAGAGACTTACTCAGAATAGAATAGAACAAAATAAAACAAAGAATGGAAAAGAATAGACATAGTAAAATAGACTGGAGCAGAATGGAACTGAATAATTTAGAATTGAACAGAATATAACAGCAGAAGATACTGATGCAGAATAGAATAGAACATAATAAAACAGAGCAGAATGGAATACATTAGAACACAGTATAACAGACTGGAGAAGAATAGAATAATTTAGAATTGAAGAGAATAAAACAGTCGAAGACTGACGCAGAAAGGAGTAGAAAAGTATGAAAGAGTATGTTAGACTGAAGCAGAATAGAATTGAATTTAACAGAATAGAACAGTAGAAGAGACGCAGAATAGAATAGAATAATAGAATAGAACAGAAAAGAATAGTACCGTAGAATAGACTGTAGCAGAATAGAATAATATAGTGCAATATATCATAATGCCGCAGAACAGAATAGAACTGAACAGGACATTGGAGAAATGAAAAACAAAATAATAAAGTAGAATAGAATTGAACGAAACAGAACAGGTCACAACAGAATAAAAAAATAGAATAGAATGTCTGAGCCTGGTTTCAGAAATCCAAGTGAAAAGTACTTGATATAGTTCCAAATATTGATAATTGGGGCTCATAAAATAATGCTAAAATAAATGCATTTAATTATTTCACAATTGTTTTTAAGTTTTCGTAAATTTTCTTTAAAAAAGTTAGATTTTAACATTTCAAAATCTAAAAGCGAAGCTTTGTATGTTTGAACTGAATGTTGTTCACAGGGATTGTGTTTGCACCGTATGGCCCACTGTGGCGCACAAACCGTAAGTTCTGTCACAGCACTCTGCGCAGCTTTGGCTTTGGCAAGCTGAGTCTGGAGCCGTGCATCCATGAAGGCCTGACCATGATTAAAACAGAACTGCAGAGCCTCATCGAAAAAACAGGGCCTTCTGGTATCGATCTGACTCCCCTCATCAGCAATGCTGTCTCCAACGTCATCTCCTCCATGAGTCTGGGTCAGCGTTTCCATCACCAGGACCAGGAGTTCCGCACCATGCTGGATCTCATGTCTCACGGGCTGGAGATTAGCGTCAACACATCCATTTTGCTTATCAATGTCTTTCCCTGGTTATACTACCTGCCCTGCGGTGTTTTCAAAGAGCTGCGGCGCGCAGAGATCAACATCACGGCCTTCCTGAAGAAGATCATCACGAGGCACAGGGCCACGCTGGATCCGGAGAATCCCAGGGATTTCATAGACATGTATCTGGTGGAGATGCTGGCCCAGCAAAAGAGCGATAATTCAGAACAGAGCTTGTTCTCAGAGGACGATCTCTTCTACATCATTGGAGACCTCTTTATTGCAGGCACTGATACTACAACAAACAGCGTGTTGTGGAGTATTCTCTATATGTCCTTGTATCCTGATGTGCAAGGTATGTGCACCAGCACTGTAAAGTGTAATTTACAAATGTCTGAAGGTTTGGTTTCTGGTTATATATGAAATTTTAGTTTGATGACCCCCTCAGAGAAGGTTCAGCAGGAGATTGATTCGGTGGTGGGATCTGAGAGAGTCCCGTCTCTGACTGATAAGGGCAGTTTGCCGTACACAGAAGCCACCATTATGGAGGTGCAGAGGATGACTGTAGTGGTTCCTCTGTCTATACCCCACATGGCCTCGGAAACCACAGGTGAGGTCAGGCCTTTGGCAGACAAAATACGGAAGCGATGCAGATTTGCTGCCTGATGTATGTTTACCTCATGCCTATTTAGTCTCATGAAACGTATTAGCTGTGCTACATTCACAAATTCATATAGTTGTACTTTTAATTTTATAATCGTATACTGTATATAACATTTTTAATTAAAAAAGAACACACTCAAAAGTAAAATGTCTGCTTGCATTACAATAGTGAAAGTATGCGTAAAATAATGAAAATAATGTTACAATGTACAAACTATTGTTCCTAAAAATATGCTTTATTTTCTATAAGCAAAAATCTATATAAATATATTATAAAAAATATAAAGATACAAAATTAAATAATATAAATAAATATACTATATAAATATATTTCATATATACATATAATCTTTCCAGTCAGTACTGTTTTATTCTATTCTATTATGCCTTTATTCTTTTCTATTCTGTCAGCTCTTCTACTGTTCTATTCTGTTCAATTCTAAATTATTCCATTCTGCTCCAGTCTATTCTATTCCGTCCTGTTTTATTATGTTCTATTCTTTTCTGTGTCAGTCTCTTTTGCTTTTCTATTCGGTTCAATTCTAAATCATTTTATTCTGCTCTAGTCTAATATACTGTTCTTATAATAAATAATATATATAATATAAATACAGTACTATAAATATACATTTTATACATACTTGGAGATTTTTTCTTTCTTTCTTTCTTTTTTTTTTGTGACCCGAATCATTTTTTATCCAGATTTTTGATTTAGCTGAGAATATATATTATATACCGTGCCCAACTGAATGTATTTTTTTGCTTTGTTTTTCTTTTAAAGTTTGTCTAAAGTAAATTATTAATGAATAAAACTGAACCAGGTCAACTTGAACTTTACCATAATCCACCTATTGGCACTACAAGGTAGATAACAGCCAGACTTTAACCTGAATCTGTATTTTTTATATTAAATCCAAAGGGTGTACAAATATTATGACTGTACAAATACTTTGAGAGGACACGCTTAAAAGCACAAGCAACTGAATATTTCAGCTATATTTATCTCTTCCTAGAGTTCCGAGGATACACTATTCCTAAAGGAACAGTTATCATCCCAAACCTCTGGTCAGTACACAGGGATCCCACCGTGTGGGAAAATCCTGATGACTTCAATCCAGGCAGATTTCTGGATGAACAGGGAAAACTTCTCAGGAAAGACTGTTTTATTCCATTTGGAATAGGTATGTTTGTAATCATGTAACCTGGAAACCAGCAATTTAACATGTTTAGGTTTTATGCTAATAACTACTTTTCCAACGAGAACTTTGTTTAAATGATGTTTTGTATATCTGGCAGGTCGCAGGGTGTGCATGGGAGAGCAGCTGGCTAAGATGGAGCTGTTTCAGATGTTTACCAGCCTGATGCAGGCCTTCACTTTCAGGCTTCCTGAGGGGAAATCTGCTCCATCCATGCACGGACGCTTTGGCCTGACTCTGGCTCCATGCCCATTTACTGTCTGTGTGAAAGCGCGCTGAACAGCCTTTAAAAAAAGAGGCATTCCTCAATCAATCATCACTGGGAAGCAAATTGCATGGGTTGTCCATTAAGAAGAATTTTCATTTGGACCATAAATGAAGTAAGAGCCTTTGTGATTGCATGATCAAGCAAAAGGTCTGAGATTATTTTATGTACATTTTTTTTTTTTTGAACAATTTCAAGAAATAAGAACAAATACCTAAGTATTATGTCAGCATATTTCAGTTTTGATTACATTTATTTTAAAATATTCATTTCATAATCCAATAAAACCTAATTGTTTTTTTTTTTTTTAAGTTTTGAGATTATTTTATGTGGAATGTTCCTGAACAATTTCAAGAAATAAGAACATATGCCTAAGTATCATGTCAGCATATTTTAGTTTTATTATTACATTTATTTTAAAATATTCATTTTATAATCCGATAACTGAACTGGGTTTTTTTTTCTCAAAATGATTAGTTGGTTACTGTACTATGAGACTGTTATTACACATTTTTTAAAGAATTATTGCAGAAAACTCTTTCAAATATGGTTTAGTGCTATCATTAAAAACATGAATGGGTGTTCAACAATGGACCTGAAATGAGATCCTATGAAATACTGGGATAAAAAGCTCTCTTAAAACAACACTCACTAATTTCAAGTTGTCCACTAAAAATGTATCATGTATCATGTTTGATGTCATTTTGTGGTGGAAATTGAAATTGAAATATTTTTGGAATAAAATGGCCAGTCTTGCTAAGGCTAATTTCATATCTAGAATTTCATGTCCTATACACATGCTATTTTCACACTTTTTGTCTAATTTGACAAAAAATACTGCTTGACTGAAAATGATGCACAATAAAATATCCTGCTGGAAAGCAATATTTACCTTGATTTGTCTTTGCTTTCTTCACACATCGCGTGTCATCATGTTAATTGCAAGCTCTTCACTGACTCTGTTGCTTCCTTAGCAAACAACTACACTAATTTTACACTAATCACTTATTTATAATGAATACATTATTGATGAATGTTTGTTGTGGACAAAACAATGCTATAATTGTGGGTACAGTGGCCATTTTTGAAAATTCATAATCGGTTTTAAACGTAATAATTTGTGTTTGTATTGAACATCTGAGTTTAGGAAAAATGAAAACAAAACTATATTTGCGGCGGTAATTATTTAGAATCATATGCAATAGGCCGATCATGTAGCCTAATAAATATATTTATTTTTTATCAACGCCAATCTTACACAATGAATTACAGTAACAACGAAAAAGGATTTTAAAAAAAAGAAAAAAAAAGAAACGAACAGCAGTTATACGAGGTTGTAAAATTATTAGAAATTATTATTATTAGCCTATTATTATTGTATCTTAGAAATGGTAATTAACATTTAGAGTATAGTTTTGCATTGAAACGCATTTGTTAATAATAATAAAAACACACCTCTCCACCAAGAACAATAAACACATTGACAATATATGATTTGATTTGGTATAACAAAATTCCAGCAGGTCTTTACTGTCTCTGAAAGGTCGTCGCAAGGGGAGGAAACCACGTGATCCCATCAGCAACCTTGCTCCAGTTGTTCTCGAGCTCGCGAAGGACAGTGGTGGCCACTGGCCAAAATTATTAGAACACCTGACAGTTCTGAAAATATTGACCTTTTTTTGCCTCCAAAACATGATTTCACGTGAGACTGTTACTTAAAACTGTGCTTTATGCTGGACAGTATTTATTTATCGTGAGTTGTTCAAATCGCGGTAATCTAATACAGTTTTAATGATAATTAAAAGATGAAACGGTAATACTAACCGTAGGGAATTTTATCATGATTTATCGTCAAACCGGTAATCGTTACATCCCTAATGATTTCATTTCATAATGTCCATGAAACATGAAGATGGTTTCTCTGAGCACAAGAAATATAAGATGCAGTGAGTCGTACTGTTTTTATCCACTTTTAACTTTAATATTTGGTATGTCCACCTTTTGCAGCAATTACAGCAGCACATCTCTCTGACATAGTGTCAATATATGTCCTGAGAACTTCAACACTAATGTTATCCCATGCCTTCTGCAACTCAAGCCAGTGGCTTTCCTTTGAATGTACAATAGATCTGTCCAGTTTATTTTCCAACTCGGTCCAGACTTTGAGTAAATGATGACTGAATGTTTATTATTAGGTGAACTACGCCCTGAATTACACTTCCCAGTGTTTCTCATTGAACGGAGTTGCTTTCTACATCACATTGTAGAAAGAAACGACGACTTTGTATCGTGATGTCATTAGAACAACGGTATCATGGGCTTCATTTCTTTATTTTTTTTAGGTTGCTGCATCCACAGGACATTCAGTGGTGCTGGTGGACACATCTGAGGACATACTGAAGAAATCTGCAAAGGGTATTGAGTCTAGTCTGAAGAGAGTGGCGAAGAAGAAGTTTGCAGAAAAACCTGAGGTTAGTTTGACAGCACCAACTAGGTCACAAAGATTTAATGGCTAAATATGTTCTATTGTTCATTAACTGTGGCTCACGTTCTCTAGGATGGAGAGGCGTTCATTCAGAAAGTCCTGAAGAACATCTCTACAAGCACAGACCCTGCGTCTGTAGTTCAGGGCACTGATCTTGTGGTGGATGCTATTGTGGAAAACCTCAAAGTCAAACAAGATCTGTTTGGAGCTCTGGACAAAGCGGCCCCAGAGTAAGAAAAACTCGTTTTTTCTTTTCTCAGTTAAAATAATAGTGAGAACAAAATATTGGGTACAATGGGGCTAAAGGTGCATTTGATTTGATTTTCCTCTTAACCACTAGATGGCACAAAAATTCACAGCAGCATTTTCAATGGATTTATGTAGCAAATAAAATTTAAGCCGCCCACCAATAACACGGCTACTTCCTAAATGAACAAATACATAGACATTATTTGAAATTATTTTATTATATAAAAAGAAAAAGCACAGCTATATAGGAAATCATTTGACAAAAGTCACTTAAACTGTTCAGTGTCATTATGCAAAAGTATTTAAAGCAGAGAATCTAGTATTCTGACGAGCTGTGAAATGAGAGTTGTTTAATTTAGCTGTAAATGTATGCATCCTAATTTACATACTTGTACTATGCACTAAAAGTAATGGCATGAATGCTGAAGCTTGGTTTAGTATTGTATCAGTCAGATGTTTGCTCTCTCTTCAGACACACTATCTTCGCTAGCAACACGTCCTCTCTGTCAATCGCAGACATCGCCAGCTCCACGGCCAGATTAGATCGCTTTGGTGGTCTGCATTTTTTTAACCCCGTCCCAATGATGAAGCTGGTGGAGGTCTGGATTGAGTTTGATTCACTTACTGCACAAGCATCCACATTAATGCAAATGACAGTTTCTCTTCAAGATATTGCAGCTTACATTGAAATGAATATATTAAACATGTAGTTTCAGTTTTGACTAACTGTCTGATCTCAGGTGATTAAAGCTCCAGGAACAAGCCAACAGACTTTTGATGCTCTCCTTGAGTTCAGCAAAGCTTTAGGGAAGCATCCAGTCTCATGCAAAGTATGTGCTCTGTATTCTTGTATATTATGTTGACTTTATCATCTCTCTCTATCTGTCGGTCTCATTAGCAAAGCTTAACAGCTAGACTAGGGCAAGCTAGCAAACGTAGTAAAACATGATAGAAACATGCAATGGCATGCTTGAAACATGCTAGCAATATTCTAAAACATGTTAGCAATGTGTTTATGCATGTTAGCAATATGTTAAAACATGCTTAATCATGCTAGAAATGTTACAAAATGCTAGAAATGTGTTAAACCATGCTAAAAATGTGCTAAAACAAAGCCTAACAACTAGCCTAGGGCAAGCTAGCAACATAAACGTGATAGATTAGCTGTAAATGTATGCATCCTAATTTACATACTTGTACTATGCACTAAAAGTAATGGCATGAATGCTGAAGCTTGGTTTAGTATTGTATCAGTCAGATGTTTGCTCTCTCTTCAGACACACTATCTTCGCTAGCAACACGTCCTCTCTGTCAATCGCAGACATCGCCAGCTCCACGGCCAGATTAGATCGCTTTGGTGGTCTGCATTTTTTTAACCCCGTCCCAATGATGAAGCTGGTGGAGGTCTGGATTGAGTTTGATTCACTTACTGCACAAGCATCCACATTAATGCAAATGACAGTTTCTCTTCAAGATATTGCAGCTTACATTGAAATGAATATATTAAACATGTAGTTTCAGTTTTGACTAACTGTCTGATCTCAGGTGATTAAAGCTCCAGGAACAAGCCAACAGACTTTTGATGCTCTCCTTGAGTTCAGCAAAGCTTTAGGGAAGCATCCAGTCTCATGCAAAGTATGTGCTCTGTATTCTTGTATATTATGTTGACTTTATCATCTCTCTCTATCTGTCGGTCTCATTAGCAAAGCTTAACAGCTAGACTAGGGCAAGCTAGCAAACGTAGTAAAACATGATAGAAACATGCAATGGCATGCTTGAAACATGCTAGCAATATTCTAAAACATGTTAGCAATGTGTTTATGCATGTTAGCAATATGTTAAAACATGCTTAATCATGCTAGAAATGTTACAAAATGCTAGAAATGTGTTAAACCATGCTAAAAATGTGCTAAAACAAAGCCTAACAACTAGCCTAGGGCAAGCTAGCAACATAAACGTGATAGAAACATGCAATGTCCTTAAACAGGCTTGAAACATACTAGCAATATTCTAAAACATGTTAGCAACATGCTAAAACATGCTTGAAATGTTAAACATTATAGAAGCATGTTAAAACATGCTTAATCATGCTAGAAATGTTACAAAATACTAGAAATGTGTTAAACCATGCTAAAAATGTGCTAAAACAGCCTAACAACTAGCCTAGGGCAAGCTAGCAACATAAACGTGATAGAAACATGCAATGTCCTTAAACAGGCTTGAAACATACTAGCAATATTTTAAAACATGTTAGCAACATGCTAAACATGCTTGAAATGTTAAACATTATAGAAGCATGTTAAAACATGCTTAATCGTGCTAGCAATGTGCTTAAACATGCTTTCAAAATGTTAAAACGTGTTAATAAAGAGTTGAATCATGCTAGAAAGATATTAACAGCACGTTAAAATATGCTAGAATTCTGAAAGCTTTTTAAAGCTAAATTCAAATTTCAGACAAGGCTTTGTCAAGCCAACATCAAAGTTTGTCTTCAAAATCTATTTATAGTTATTATTATTATTAGTGTTG